GAACCTCTTAGCCACACAGAAGGGACTAGAATGAAGGAGTTTTTTTTTATCTGTAACAACTGCAGAGAGATCAGGCAATAAAATCCAGGGGCCTATTGAATCCGCCTTTTCTGTTCATGTACTGCCTGCAACAAGAGAAACAAATGTAAGCAAAGTTTTCCACAGTATCCATCCAATGTTTAATCCAAATTTAACTAGGCACTGCTCATATATCAGTAAGCCATGCATTTTTTAAAATGGGTTTTTATTTGAGAAACAAAGTCAACATTCTCAAAAGAAACAAAATAGGTGTGTTAAGCCTGATATGCTTAACAGACATAATTTCAATTAAAAAAAAAACCCCAAACCACAAAAAACTTCTCCCTCCCCCACCTCCCACACACACACACACACACACACAGAAGAGATGATTTAAGCAGAATCTGAAAGAGCACCACAGTGCACAAGACAGATATACCAGTAGGTTTGAGGGAATATTAAATTGCAGGAAATATAAAAAAACATTCAGATAGATCAAGGAGACAACTCCACTTCCAAATAACCAAATAAAGGCTCCAAGCTGGCTGGTGGCCATATTAAGCTGATCACTACTGGGTGGAAAACAGAGAACAGGGAAACACAAATGGAATAAACTGTCTTGGGGCTGGGCACAGTTAGAACCCTGCATGCCAGGATATTTTGTTACAGATCCCACTTGCCACAATACAGAAGGGTCTGCCAGATGGAAGACTTTCATCAAAATGACAAAAACAGTGTTGTGCTGTTGCAACACAAACTCTGCCCCTTTTGTCTGTGTGTCCGCAGGGTGTGATCATAAAAGTAAGAAGCTGCCATGATGGTGTGATCAAAGCTCTACCCGTTTTCTGTGTATATCACATATGAAGCTTCAATCACACTGTTTTGGCCACCCTCTTGCCATTTTAACCACCCCCTGCGGACACCCGTGTGGGATGTTATGATGCACATCTATCCCTCTGCTTGTGAGTGCTTCTGCCAGAAAAGCAACCCATAGATCTAACATGCCAAATAAAAGGGACCCACAGATTGGGGCAGATCAATACAAGGAAGGATAAAGGAGCTTGGGGGATTTTCTGTGTTTAGGTGCCAAAATAGCTTCATCAGCCTGGGATACTAGAAATTTTGACTTGGGGAAGGGAGTTTTCCTCTGGCTTTTCTTAGGCAAAGATGTTTGGGCCAGCTTCACAGACTAATTTTCACCATGGAGCAATTTCATCTGATTCAGTGGAAGACACACAAAGTTAATCTTAAATTGTTGAAGGCTTTTACGGCCGGAATACGATGGCTGGCGTGGGTCTTCCGGGCTGCGTGGCCGTGTTCTGGAAGTTTTGTTTCCTAACGTTTCGCCCGCCCCCTTGGTCCGCACATTTCTCTGCGGC